CTATTGAATCTCTTATTCTTTTTTCCTTTGCATTTCCTGCATTTTAGCTTTCTTACTGATTTTTATTTTAAATAATTAGTTTAGTCTTTGACCTAGGTTATATAATATACATCTTTAATTAATTACGGTTTACCTTTACACTCACTTATTTCTACTACTATGTCTTTATCTGTATATCATTTATTAGCAAAATTTTCAAATGTATTAAGACTTTTCTTTATTGGAAACAATTACAGTATACCAGACCAGACTTCTTACTGTACACAGTTGATTGTGCTTAAATAGCTAGGCATATGATGGATCGTTATGATTCTTTATGCTCATTTAGAATTTCAGAACCATGGACCTGAACATATCACAAGAGGTCCTTTAGCTTGATCTTCAAAGTCTAAAGTCTTAATTCAAACTCATTTTAAGACATTTCTGAAAGCTCTTTCTCAAAGTTGAAACTTAAACTTGTTTAGCCTGTAGTTTCCTTTTAGTCTCTGTCTCTTTTTCTTACTCTTTCACTTTATGTGTTGGGTGGGACACCCAGGGTTCATCATTCTGCTTTGTAATGCACTTTAGCAACCTTACAACCATGAAAATAGGTATCGAGTCCCTTCTTACCATTCTCTAAAAAAAAAAAAAAAAGGAGGTAGAGGAATTGCCTAGTTCCCTTGCCAAGTAGAAGTGCAGACTGTCCAGTCTGTAATGAGAGTACTGAACATTAAACTCTCTCCCTAAAGCTATGTGGTTTATTTTACTTGGGATATGTGTTTTTACTTGAGTTCTGACTTTGGACAGATGTTCTTCAAAAACTCTATTTTCCCAAGGACCTGATTTTCTTGTGAGCCAATCAAATACAACTCTGGTTGTGCTACTTGATGGAGCCAGACCAGAAGGAAAAGCCAGCCAGAAAACTTAGGATTTTTCTGAAAAATATCACTTGCGAGAAAAAAGCACTAGACATCTAGGGCCAGTGCGTTGCAAAACTTCCAAGCCCTTGCTAGTCATGAACATAACTGCGAGATTTTCAAGTTTTCCCTTTTAAACCATGTCACAGCATAACATTTTCTTTTTTCTTTTTCCCCCTAAGGGGTGCTACATCCATTGTGTACAGATGCAAACAGAAGGGGACCCAGAAGCCCTATGCTCTCAAAGTGTTAAAGAAAACAGTAAGTTTATTTTCTTATATAACAGCATCTCTGAGAAGTCAGGAGTCTCACTCAGGACACAGGGACCAGGGAGAGGCCAATCAAACAGTTTGTCCTCTGACAAAACTGGAAACTGGAAACCATGGGATTCTTTGAGTCACTGGATCTTAGATGGGATGTGATTTGTGGAGAGAAGGGTGGAAAGGAAAAGCATTAGAGCTGGGACGTAAACCTTGCTTTGTATGTCAGCTCTGTTCCTGAATATATGATATGTGTATATATGGAATAGATCACATTTTAATATTTAAACATTATAGTCTGTGTTTTAATATGCTAGAGTAGTATGTGTCTTAAAAGAAAATGAAATGAAACATAAATGTGTGTATTTTGAAAGATGTCATTAACTTTTAACCTGCCCAGGTTTTCTAAGACTGGGTGGTTGCTGGACAAATGCTAGTGTTTCTAGGGCTGGTCCTGTAACTGGACAAGAGGGAAGGATTTTGCCCTGGGTTTTACTTCATTTGTTCACCCTCACAGATGGGCCAGAAAAGGCACAGGTATCTAAGGTCCTCCATAGTGAGGACAAGAAGAAGTGAGGGTCACATCTTGAGTGGGGCCCTGATGACACTCTCTCAGCCTCACTTCTGATTTCTCTTCTTTTCTGTGTATGAACTAGTTTCTGTTCATATAACTACACAAAGTCAAGATGCATTTTACAGCACAGTGTTCTTTTGTTAAATTTTATATGAGCAAAAATGTGTAGTGCAGTATGTATATTTCTGAAAATCTAGTTGTAAGGTTTTAAGTGTTTAGTCGAGCAATATCTTCTATAGGCCAAGGGAGCATTTTTTTTAAACTCCAAAAGCAACTTAATACCATCAGCTGTTTATGTACTGTCTGAGACAAGGAAATCTTAAGACTTATATAATGGAGAATGTAATGACACAGGATTTTCAACCAAGCAGAAATGGAAGGACATTTTGAAGCAATCTGCTAGAAGGCAAAACTGGCAAACAGAAAGATAATTTATTCAAAGTTGGTCAAAATTTAAGAGGTGATTGCTATTAATAAACTCTATATCCTTTTTCTAATGTAGAAAATTTCTTAAGTTAATCCACAATTTAGGAGAATATTTTGATTAATAAGGTTGTGATTTTCTTCTTATATCAATTTCTTTGTCATAAAATTTACATGAACTGATTAGTTAAAATTTTATGAAATGGAATTTTTTCTTAAATGCTTTTTAAGAAAATAAATTAGAATGATTTAGTAATATTCTTATCCAAGTTTTATTTAGACTTAGCTACATGTTTTCTCTTTGGTTTGAGATATTGGTAAGTTTGTGAGTTATTTCTTTTTTCCTTCATTTCATGACCAGGAAAATTTTGAAAAGGAATAGATAGATACATGAAGCTCTAGAGAACAACCATTCAGAAATTATTTGTGTAAATCTGGGCGTGGGGGTGCACTCCTGGAATCCCAGTATCTGGGTGAAAAGGAAGGATGACTGCAAGTTCCAGACCAGACTGAGATTCATACGGGGGGGGGGGGGGGGGGGGGGGAGGGGAGGGGAAGGTAGTGGAAAGAATCTCCCTTACAGACAGGCAGGAAGAGAATGTGGATGGAAACCAAGTGTCAGAGGGAGCTGCTGGCAGATGTTGTCAAACATAGTCACTACTGTGCCAAATGGAATGAGAGAAAATCTCTTGAAGGAACCTCAGTCTGAATGTGAAGTAGATGGAATCCCCAGCATTGTGTTTTAGGATAAGTCATGCATGGAGATGTGTAAATGAGAAAAATAGCAGGCAAGCCACAGAGAGCAAATGCCTCCATCGCTTAATTCCATGTAGGTCATGGAAACGGAAACTTCCTTGTCTAAAGGAAATGATGGGTGCTATGAGTCTATGTATAGAGGGAAACTGACACAAGGAAAATATTTTCTTAGAGAATTCAGCAAAGAGTTTTGTATCTGAGGTCATGTTGAACTACATGAAATTGCCACAATTAAACCATTTCTGACCTACAAAAATGGCAATTTTGTGTGATTCAGTTAACAACTGTGGGACCCACTGAACACTTCCCTATGTCCTTATTTTATGCTAGACATAAACTTATAAAAATATGTAATTTCTATATGTATAACTACATTTCAAAGAGCTAAAATACATTAAACCATGTATTGACTAGGGCCAAAATGTCTTTAATTTACTTTTAACTGGTTAAGTGTGTGGGCTTGTGCATATGTGTGTGCGTGTGCATGTGTGTGTGTGTATGTGTGTGGGGGGGGGAGAAAGAAAATATGGCAAATATCAACAACTATTGAATGTATGACAGAATAACTATATTCATGGTGGCACATCAACATAACAGAATCTGTGAACAGTCTCATGATGAACACTTGGGAGAAAAGCAACATCCACCACTGACTTCCTGTTCAACACAACTGAGTTTTTATTGGGGTAGGGAGAAGGAATGTTCACAAAGCATTTTAGGATTTTACAGCCCATTATTGCTATGATAAACACTGGTGATTCTCCTGTAGATGAAATGAAGTGTTGGAAAATAGAAACTGGTTATTGAATCAGCATTTTACTAGATTGAAAACCACCTGGACGCTTCCTGTAAGAATGGCTATTTGTCTCACTGTGTCATGGAGGGGGATAAGACTTTGATCCTAGTCAGAGTAAATAAAAGAAGAAAATTGATTGAGGTACTTTTTGGCTGTCTATTTGTGTGATTCTCACCCCCCCCACCACCACTTAGTACAGAACACTCCTGGGATGAAACTGTCCATTCAGTAGGTATGGCACCCATCCCCAATTGCATGGGGTGGCCTATTTTTTGACTTTTTACTTTGAAATGCTATAGATTCACTGGAAATGTCACTTTGTTGCTCATAAATACTTCATTATCTTGAACGTAGAAACTAATTGGCTTATGGTTGTCCCTAAAATTTTTTGTATCATACAACTTTTAAATTATTATTTTATTAATTCTTTGAGAATTTCATATGATATATTTTGATCATATTATCTCCCCTTCCACAACTCCTCCCAGATCCAACACCTTCTTTACCCACCCACCAACTTTATGTTATTTTTTTTAAATCAATCAAGTCCAATTTGTGATGTTCATATACTCTTAGATGTGTGTTCATCCCTGGAGCAGGATCATTCTACCCACCTGGGAGGTCACACCCTCAAAGAAAACTGACTCTTCCTCTCCCTGCAGTTATCAGTTGCCAACAGCTCCTCAGCTGGGGGATGGCAGAGCAGAGGGGACTTCATGCCCACCTACCTTCTCCATGCTGGAATTCTGTCTGGTTTGAGCTTAGGACAGTTTATGGCATGCTATCACAACCACTATGAGTGTATATGTACAACTGCCCTGTTGTGTCTGAAAACACTGTAACGTTGTAATCTGAATTTTTTTTACTAGGAGCTTTGTAAATCATAAATCAAGTATGAAGAAAATCAAACTTTTTCCTTCATGCATCAGCCCTTTACATTCTCCATCTCACATGGTAGAAGACATTGATGTAGACTAGAAAATACTTTTATTATATTATTTTTTCAGGTTAAAGACTATAGTGTCAAGAAATTTCACAAACACAACCGATGGAACAGCAACTGATTTATAAGATAAAAATCCTTTACTTCTATAACTTTGAAAAATGTCACACTAAAAACTGTACAGAAGGAAAAAGATAAATTGAAGAAAGAATTAAAATTTGAACAGATTCGACAGATGGAAACCTCAGCCTGGACTGAGTTTTGCTAGGCTAATTTTGAAAAATGGCATGGTGAGAATGGAACAGTTTCAAGAGTGAACCATGTGGATCATATTTACCTTCTTTTTCTTTTAAGTACCTGCAACAGACTATGTATAATGTCTAAACTTTATCTATATTAAGTGTGACTTGTTTTAAAAAAATGCATTGATATCAGAAATTTATGCTCATCAGTAATTTATAGTGTCTCTGGAATTTTAGAGAATGAGGTTTGAATTCCAGAAATCAGATAAAATTTCTAGGTGCATAGCTCAACTCTTGGTAAAGGTTGTAGTCTCCTAACTATAAAATCCAGTCTTTCATGAAATACCCAGTATGAGGTCTGAGAGCCAGTCTTGGTGTGGGAATTCAGAATGCATAGGTGTTTTGATTCTCCTTGAGAGCAGCTATGCAAACACGGGGTCAGATCATAGACTCCAGAGTCAAAGAAACTGTCGAAGATCACTACTGTTACTTACTATCTGTGTGACTGGACCAATTACAGAATATCTCTCAATCTCAGCTTTACCTCTAAGTGAGTTTAAGAACAACTAGTTTATGGTGCTCTAGTGTAGATTAAAATGAGATAGCTTATACAGAATATTTCCTAGCCCACAAGAAGTATGTCATAAATGATGACATAATTCTTGAGTTAATTGAAGTGAACTCACTTATTTTATTATAGATGAGTTACTGCTATGTAACTCTCACATTCGATCCAGCTTGATTTGAAACAGCAAAGACTGACTATCACTGAGCACTTTCATATGAGCAAAATTAATTATACTACTTTGGAGCACTTTCAGCAATACTGCAAAAATGAGTATTGATTTTTACGATTCTGATTGATAACATTTAGTGTTATTTGGGTTTTCTGACTTTCTCTTTAGGTACATCTTGGTGGATGCTTGTAATACCTAGATCAGAAAACTTTCACCCTGAGGCTCTTCGCTTCACACCTCAGAGCAGTGTGGTGAGATCCAGAGTATGGCAGTGGCTTGAGCTCCAAGTTTTGTCATATTTCAGTGATTAAAGTAAAAAGTTACCCATACATCTTTGGAAATATATTTCTTAAGTATTTGAATGAATTTTCACCAAGTAAGTGCTACCAAAACACATTTTATAAATTTTTATAACCAACATTTTAACCACTTCAGGGAGAGAGCTTCAAGCTATGATTTATCATCACTCTATATAAGTTGTTTTTTAACTTCCACTACTTTTTCTTTACATCCTTATAGAATAGAATTTG